ATATTATAGTGATTGATGTCACTTATGTAGGTCTATTTGTAGAAGTTTAATGTAATATCTCTTGATTTCATGTTTACGTGATAAGCGCATGATATAGCAATGAATTCATTCTCATACCTTGTGATGAGCGTGATTTTGTGCTTTGTCCTGTCGATTACATATGACTTTGTCGAAATTGAATGAATCACAGAAGTGGGTTCTGATTGACCAGCGGATTCATTAAAAAGTGCCATGCTAATTAACCATACAGTAAACAGGAGCTTTGTATAACACATTGTTAGTAACTTTGTGTTTGTATTGTAAATCGGTAAATTTTAATGTATCAGTTGTTTGTAATTTAGTTGAAATATGCGTCTGAATATATACTATAACAGCGTGCGTGAGAGAGAGAGAGAGAGAAAAATATACCTTTTCTATTTCAAAATTATTGAAGGAGGCGTAGCTTTCGCTATTAACCCTTATTATTCTTCGATGATAACTAAAAAGCTATGGCTTAGCGACGATAAGATAGCCAAAAAAAGATATCGTCTGATAGGTACTCGTGTCGTTTTATGATAGAATACGATAATATTTTCGCGAACGCTTGCTTCGTAGGTTAGATAAAATAATGCATAAAGAAAAATATTGGTGTATGTATTGTTTTCGTAACCAACTGAGCCAATGAATTACGTTTTCCCCCTTTGCTTTCTATCCGATCAACCATCGAAGCGAGCAGAGGCGTAGGCAACGTTGTATAACTACTCACCATGTTGTTTTGTTGACACGGTAATACAAGATATAGCCAATTAGGTATACCTTTTATTTTTCTCTTGCTGATCACCTGAGACACAAATATAATGAGTTAATGATGATTCGAACAATCTAGAAAATATTATTGCTTTCGTCCAAAGTGCAATGTACTATTTTTTCTCAGATCAAAGATGGTCGATATTTGCTAGTTTTCAAGTCACGTGCGCCAGTTAGTGATTTCGAATGACTCAAACACATGTATATTTTTTATTCTAAACGATGATGTCAAATGGTTTTAGGAAATAATATCTTATAAACATATATAAAAAGATAATATTGTCAAAATTTAGTAAAGTTTGAATTTATTATGATTATTAAGAGGGTGGATTACATCGTTTGCGAGGATCTTGACGAAATAGTGATTCAAAAAGGACGTTCTCTATAAATTGGTCAAGGTGCTACGATGCATGTATTATTATTCATGTTATTATGCTTCGATCAATTAAAACATTATTTTTAAATTAGAATAGAAGTAGAACATTTTTCAAATAACGGAGTGACATGGCATCAATTACATACTACTTAGAGCATACCAAAAGTAGTGAGAGTGACACATTTTTATCCGAAAATAGGCTTCAAGAAATTTTCTTCTTATTCCGCCTGATAGAGAAAAAGAAACTCTATCTTTCTATGCTATTTAATCATACTTCAACTAGAATTATGATATTAAATTATTTATAAAACCTATGACGACATGGTATGTGTTGGTTGTAATCAATGATAATTATTTTTCAACATGTTTCATTCACTTGTTTTCTCTTTATTCTCCTTCCATCTTGTTTTTCTTCGTTTCTCTCTTCTTCTTTCTTGACACTTATTCATCGATATGTGTGTGTATATATGTGGAGAGAGACATGTGTTTCTTTAGCTTAATGCGTATGATCAGTTTATCAGCGCACTTTTGTGAGATTCAACATTGTTTATTTTGACTTTACATGGAAAAGGAAAACTTTCGATTTTATATCAAAGTACACACTGCACTTAATATTCGACCGACAATTATTCATGATGAATTACGTACTGTTTTCGGTGATGAAACTCCTTCTTTTAGCACCGTTACAAGGTGGTCGCAATGATTTCGTGAAAGTCGAAAAGAGATAACAGCCGAATCCAGTCCCTTGGATTCAATTGGAGTCACATGAAGTCTCGTAAAATGATTTCCTATTTTTCTGAAATCCATTATAAAAATTCGATACTTCTATTTTTTTTGTTTGTATCGTGTGTACTATTAGATAAAATTTTTATTAGTCTTGATTCGGATACAAGTATACATTATCTTTTTTATTCTCATACAGCACATTCTTAATTTCAAGACTTGAAAGTCAGTAACGCGTTGTTTATTTTATTGAAAATAAATGAAAAAAAGTATTATACAGAGAGAAAAAATAATCAACTTTTTTTATTAATCTGTTGTACTCGAAGCAATCGATCGATTAACATTTTACTTTTTTCACCAGTTAATAACCAACAAGCAGTCTGTTTATGTATATATTTTATCTCATCATTGATTGTAGCTTTAAAATAAGAATGTTCTATATGTGACTGCACCATATTAAAAACTTTCATTTCAGAAAATTCTTCTTTTGTTGTATTTATTAAATTTCGAGTATCATCTTGTTCATCATCATTTGAGGAAAAGCCATCATTACTGTTAAGATCAGCTGCTGTTCTATTATCGTCATCATTATCATCATCAGCGATTTCAAATTCTCCATCATCCGTCTGGCTGAGTTGAGATGAGTAGTCGTAACATCTTTGAATTTGAATATAACTGTTTAAATACATATTCACTTAAGGGTTTTAAGCCAAGAACATTTTTATCGTTCAGTAAATTAAATATTTTTAAGCCATTAAGCATATCAATTGCTTCATGATAAGCCTCGTTAATGATTTGTTCGGCATCTATTAGATCGATCTCTCCTTGACTTTGTGTAGCTAATGATCACTGGATGACGCAAATGAATTACAAAGTAATTCAGAAGAAATGAATTACAATATAATTCAGAGCTAAAACTAAATTTCTACATGTATCTACCAGGGTCTACAGCTATTTACCAGGGTCTA